AATAAACAAATCCTTTATGATGCTTCAAGAGCATAGACAGAAACGATGTGATACAGAAATTATAAAGTATTTCAAACCTAATGCATTCATTTTTATTTAGGAAAAAAAAACACAAATAACCATGAATGTATCAGTCATAACATCAAGAGATTAGGGCCACTCCACTAATTTTACAGACTGTAATACTCCTCAACTTGCATGTTTTCTGTGGCTCTGTGGAGTAAAGAGGAAAGTGAGATGACATCCACACGCACCTTGAATACATCCCCACAACTGTAGTCTCACACAACACGTACAGTATAAAATATCAACAGATCAACAACGGAAGTGGCGGTGAGTGCAGCTTTACATTGGGTGACGTTGTAGCTCAGTGAGGAAGAATGAGGAAGTGAATGACTAATTGATCAATCCACTGAGTAAGAGACTGGGTTTGTTACAGTAACCTTCAGTGGCGACGGACACTTTGCGGTGTTGAAGATCAGAGAGTAGAGAGAAAGAAAGAGAGAGAGAGAGAGTGAGTGTGTGTGAGAAAGGCACCTCCAGAGGTTCACATCGATCACTGCATCACATGGGGACGCTGAGGAGATTCAGTCATGCAGTGGCCAACAAGCGCAAAAGAGACCACTGCACATGATATAGCACGTGTATACTCACACACACAAAGTGCAATTCAAACATGGATTCACCATGCACATGCTGCATACACACATAAAAAAATTATATAAACAAAACTTCTGAATGCTCCGTCACTCTAACACACTAAAACACACACACACACCACAGCAGATTAGTGTCTCTGCTGCCGGCCCGGTGTGGGACAGGACACCAGCTGGGCCCTCCTCAGATGCAGTTAAATATCAGAGTCTGCAGCTTGTCATCCCTCCTTATGAAGTGACTGATATGTGATGTAGAAGGATGAACCCTCAGGTGTTATTTCTGCTCATTACAGCTCACCACATCATCCTTCACCACAACATTCACCTCCACCCATCAGACTTCACAACAGAGAGGTCAGCCTAAAAGCCTATTAATGTAATGGTAGGAGGAAAAAAGACAAACTAAGAAAGATAGGGAAATATAAATTAAAAATAAAACTTCTTGGGATGTTAAAACCTATTTTGGGGTGGGTTGACCAAGTGAAAGGGTTTGCTGTGTTTTCAGGGAATGAGGTGAAATGTGCCTGCATCTCAGGGTTACTTCAAGGTTATTTCTAGTTTCCCTGGTGGGCAAACACCTGAAGTAAGTGAAAGGAGCATCACTCCCAAGGTAGGACGACTAACTAGGAGTTGCTAGGAGACCGGGATTGGTGTGTGTTTGTCTGTATATATGTGTGAGTGTGTGTGTTGTCTGGCAAACCCATTTGGGTGTTCAAAGAGCGTCATGTTCATAGTAACGTGTCCTGTAGTCCAAGGTTTACTGGCCAAAAATGGACAAAGGGCATGAAGTGTAGGAAATGTAACAACAAAAAACTTTGAAAAAATACACAAAAGAAATGTAAATATTAACACAATGTTGCTTCATCAGATAAACTCTTAAAACTAAATATTCTAACTTAATGGCTCTATATGAGAAAAACTAATTAGAAAGAAATCGAACTTCCTCCCCAGATTTAGTCATATATAGATATTATTTGTAGTAATCATGTAAGGGTGAGCTAAGTGTTTATATAATCTTGGAGAGATCTGTTTCTCTTCTCTTAGCTGTTTGGAGATGTTTGTGCATGAGGATCCTTGGGAACCATTTACTGATAGTATGCTCAAGAAAAGATATCTTGTGTCCTCCTTGTTCAATCTTTGGGTAAACATCCAGAGACAATTCCTCCTTAAGTGGGCAGCGCATCGGTCAGTGTGTCCATTCTGGTCAGAACCAGTGAATACTACTGTAAACTGTATGTGTGTGTTTGTGTTTGTGATTACAGCCTGACCATCTGGTCAAAGCATTTCAACATGCATAGCTAAATTATTTGTGAACATGCAACTTTTGGGGACTTTGTTTGGGGACTTCCAGGAGTTCCAAACTGAAAGAGGGTGAGACAGACATGCAGCCTGTCCTGAACCTTGTCCAAACTCCACAGGCTGCCACAGCGCCACAATGAAGTTTTTTCTTTTTTTTTTAATCAAGGTCTGCCACTAGGCTACTTTGACAGTTCAGTGCTCTGCCAAAACACAAACATGGAGACAGTGAGAGTGAAAGAGAGGGAGAGTATAAAGAAAGACGGAGAGTGACAAAAAAACAACTCAGTGGAAAGTCTTGTCATCTGATTTTTGCCACTCACTGACACTCTGCGCTTAACACAACTTTTTGGATTCAGTGAACGCACACTGGGGAGCCAAATGATTCACAGAGCAGATTTCTATATAACTGTTACATAAATCATAGAAATTACATAATATTTACATGCAAGCAATAAGTAAGTTTTTCAAAAGTATGATGTTGAATTTTACACTGCCACTCTGAACACAGCATGGTCAAATAACTAACATCGTTGCAGGAAATGAATGCTGCAAAGCCTGGTTGTGCTACAGTAGATCTTGTAGTGTGTCCATTAGCCAGGACAGGCTGTTCTATTGTTATTGATGCTCTTATTTAAGTAGACATAATTGAATTCCAAAATACAATATCACTCATTCATCATGTTGAGGTTTGACATTTCTACCAGGTTACTAGTGCACATTCAAGTGAGTTTAGTAAAGTGTAGTTGAAAATGTGTGGTTCAATGTGATCACGATTTTTGTTCAGAGACGCAAAGAGGCTGCCCAAAACGTAATCAGTAGCCCCTGCCTACACGTGTAATCCTTATCCATTTGTGGAATAAATGCTTGGCGCTTAATCATACTACAGGGAGTCACGTTTCAGGCAGGGCTGACACTCTCTGACCATTGCTGAATCACTGATGAACCTCTGCTTTAAATCACTCACACCAAGCAAGTGAGAAGGAGGAGGAAACACAGGAGAGTCTGCTGCACAAGCTCTCAAATTCCAAAAGGTGGAATCTGCAAACCTTTGGAACTCTAATGCTAAAGGTGAAATATAGGTTGTTAGAGTTTTTCTCAACCTCTGACAAATGCCACGTGGTTTGATTTATCTTTGACTCTGAGGCTGCAACCACCTTTTTTTCCCTACTGTTCTAGTACAGTGTCAATTACAGGCTTGTGTTACTCTATATCAGGAGCCTTTTATAGCAGCGAATGCCATATTTTTGATGCTCTATTGATCCCCTAGGGGGGAATTTATCTTTCAGTCTAGCTCTGCTCACAGTGCTGTGGAAAAAGGGGGCCCTCCTCTGAAATGCCGCAGCAGAACAAAAAGGGTTAAAGCTCATCTCAAACATGTGAAAAGACAGGGAAGGCCTTGCAAGGACAAACTATTGATCCACTCCTGGGTGTACTACCAGGTTTCATACAGAGGTTCATCATTTCCTCTGAATCATACATCTCTTTCTTCCTCTTCTCCCCTTGCCTTTTGGTCTCTTTCTTCTTCTGCTGCCCTAAAATGTGACAAGAGGTGAATTATGTATAAACCCAAATGTTTATCATTCACGGCTGAAGTGTGAATTACAGTGTCCCGGCTCACTATGAACTGATTATACATCTCTGCTCTGCAGTACAATAATGTCAGTTACTTCAGTGGTTTCCAAAATTAGGTGCAGGGACCTTTGGGGTTCTTTGGGATGCTGTAGTAGATCCCGGGCAGAAATAATTACTCTTTCACTTCATATTAACTGGTCATATGTTGACGGACAGAAAATTAATGTTTTGGTAACTGATGAGTTTAGGTCATTTTCAAGCAAAAATGCCAAAAATGTGATGACTTTGCTTAAATTATAACATCTTTAGGTTTAATTTATTTCCTCTTATTATAGCTCTTAGCTGATAATTTAACAATTGTATTTTGTTAGCAAATAACATTATAGCATGTTCTTATGTAGACCTTCTATTGTTGCATCAAGATTTTTCATATGCCCTTGTCTGTAACTTTTGACACTGTCTTCTTGCCAGGGCATTGGGTACATTTATGAAACCCTGAGTTCAAGATGGGTAAAATGCACATTTTATAGGAAAAAACAAGGCTTTTGATATAGAAATACTCAAAAACGATCTTTTTTGCATCACACCTATTTAGCAGGTAACAAGAAATGAACTGCT